ACTGTGATATATATGTGTGTGCGCCTCTGATGCATATATGAAGAATGGCTGCAAAACTCCAAGTCTACTTAAGAGTCACTGCCAAGATAAGAAGCTTTAACTCACACAGATAGGAGCCGAGAACACAGACATTCCACTGTAGACGACAAGCTGCTAAGCACCGGCAACACTCATTCATTCAACGCAAGAAACGTTTGCTGATGACTTAGGGACTCGGAAAAAAGGAAGCTCAATAAAATGCAGGCACACGGACACACATACCAGGACCATCATCAACCTAGCTGATGCTTCCCACACCTTCAGGGGACCAGGCCAGAGAAATAAGGAACTTGATGGGAAGAAACTCAATACTCCAGCTGGCCTCCAAAAGCTTCCCAGGACAAAAAGCCTATTCCAAATGCTCTTTCTAACATCCTGCTCTGTCTTTTAGTGTGGACTCAAATATTCTCCTAGATCCCCAGGAAAAGTTCCCATGCAGGAACTTCCCACTGTTCAGAATTCAAGAGTAAAATCCAAACTCCTTACCATGGCCACAAATTTGGCCCCTGCCGACTCATTACTAACCACACTCCAGACCCTCTGGGCTGATTATTCTTGCAGTCCTCTCTGTCTGCAAAGCTGTCCCTCTGGATCACCATGCAGGTCTCCCAAAAGCCACCTTCTCAGAGCTAGCTAAAGCTAAGACCCTAACCCTCATCCCAGCCACTTTCCATTTTCTGTTTTATTTTCCCCCATATCTCACCCTACATACTTTTGTTGACTTGTCCATTTGTTTACTATCTGTCTCTCATGCATTTTGATCTTGTTCTTGGCTATGTCCACAGCACCTGCAACAGTACCTAGCATATAGACACTCAATAAGTCATTCAAGTATTTTCAGAGTACTACAAAATTTGGGTACCAGATTTTAAGAGTAGACAAAAAGAGACAAAAATCTCTGCTCTCAAAGAGCTTAAATGCAGGTGGGAGGTAAGAAGCAGATAAACAGGCTGGACATGGTGGCTCATGCCTGTAATCCCAACACTTTGGAGGCTGAATCAGGCGGATCATGATGTCAGGAGTTTGAGACCAGCCTGACCAACACTGTGAAACCCTGTCTCTACTAAAAATACAAAAATTATCCAGGCATGGTGGTGCACGCCTGTAATCCCAGCTACTCAGGGGGCTGAGGCAGGAGAATTGCTTGAACCTGGGAGGCAGACGTTGCAGTGAGTCAAGATCACGCCACTGAACTCCAGCATGAACAACAAAGTGAGACTCTGTCTCAAAAAAAAAAAAAGCAGATAAACAAAGGCAAAATAATAGTTAATACTTCAATTTATCATATACTAAGTGCCAGGTGCTCTTCTGAGTATCTACTAGGTATTACTTAATTTAATCCAACAACTCCATGAGAAAAATATTACTATTGCACATATGGGGAAACTGAGACACAGAGAGATTAAGTTACCTACTGAAGATCATGCAGCGCCTGATGGCAGAACCAGGATCCAAACCTGATAGTCTTGGTACAAAGTCCGTGGTCTAATTAAGAGCTACACTTCATATTTGCTGAGTGTCAAATAACTACTTGGTCAGCACCTGCAGCAGCTGTTCCCAGTAGGCAGGGATGGAGAGAAAGCAGACCCGTCAAGGAAGGACTGCCCTGTCCTGTGAGCACTGTGAACAAGAGACTGCTGGGTTTACACTATGTTGATCCTGGATGAGGAGTCTACAATAAGCACTGTCTGATGAAAAGGCAGGGGCAGGGGCAGGACTTCTGGTGCCCTGAGATGCCAGGCAAGTTAACCAATATTTGGAGAGTTTAGATTTTGTGCAGGGCACTGATCTAGACACTGTGGTTGTTGCAAAGACAAACCCAGCAGAGATCTGGTCTCAGAAAGCTCAGAGTCACACGTGTACATATGTAGCTGAAACGGGGTAGAAACTGACAGGCATCATAAGAAAACGCATAAACTGCTATAAGACATCAAAAGAGCCAGCTTCTAGGGGCCACAGATGCTTAACCATAAAAGAAGGGGCTGGCCTATGTAACTCCCAAGGTCCTCTCATTCTGACATGTTCTGACAGCACAGATTTAGAGCAGCATGAAGATCAAGTTTTATTGTTTGTTGTTGTTTTGGTGTTGTTGCTGTTGAGATGGAATCTTCCTCTGTCACCCAGGCTGGAGTACAGCGGCACGATCTCAGCTCACTGCAATATCCACCTCCCGGGTTCAAGTGATTCTCCCACCTTAGCCTCCCAAGTAGCTGGGATTACAGGCACCCGCCATCATGTCCGGCTAATTTTTGTATTTTTAGTCGAGATGGCTTTTCACCATGTTGGCCAGGCTGGTCTCCAACTCCTGATCTCAGGTGATCTGCCAGCCTTGGCCTCCCAAAGTGCTGGGTTTACAGCTATGAGCCACTGCACCCAGCCTTATTCTCAAGTTTGTGGCCACTGAGTCGTTCTCCCACCTATCATGAGAACAGGCCCAATTTCTTGGTGCAACATCTTCCAACAGAGGCAGTAATGTTCCTATTTAAATAACACAACCGGATGTGGGAATGAAGCCCAGTATATTCTGCCCTCCTCCACCTCTAACTGGTTTTTAAACCCATAAACCCTCTCCAATCAAGGAGAAGGGGACCTGTTCTATGAGCATGTTGTTATGAGACATCTAAATCTCAGTCTCCAAAGTTTTACTTTGCAGCTCTCCCAGAGGGAACAGACTGACTCCACCTCTTCATTTCCATGGCCACTGCCCCGATCCCTCAAGCCACCATCATCTCCTGCCAGGTAGCTGCAACCGTCTGTCTCATAATTGGTATCCCTGCCTCTACCTTTGCTCCTTACAATCCAGTCGCTACACAGCAGCCAGAACAATCTTTCAGAACAAATCAGACTTTATCCTCTCTCTGCTTAAAACCCTTCAATGGCCTCTAACTGTTCTTGGAGTAAAATCCAAACTCTTTATTATTACCTACAAAATCACTGTTTTGATCCATAGGTTCTTCCCCCCCCCCCCCAAGACGGAGTCTTGCTCTGTCACCCAGGCTGGAGTGCAGTGGTGTGATCTTGGTTCACTGCAACTCTGCCTCCCAGGTTCAGGCAATTCTCCTGCCTCAGTCTCCCAAGCAGCTGGGACTACAGACAGGTGTCATCACGCCTGGCTAATTTTTGCATTTTTAGTAGAGATGGGGTTTCATCATGTTGGCCAGGCCTCCCAAAGTGCTGGGATTACAGGCATGAGCCACTGTGCCCGGCCTGATCCACAGATTCTTATATGTAATCTGTCTCCTCTCTACCTTCACAGCACTTACCACTACTGAAATTATTTTGTACACTTGTTTACTCACTTATTGTGTGACTTCCCTCCTCTTTAAAATGTCATCTCTAAGGAGGGCACAAACCGTGCCTGTCTTCCCCACTAAAGCCCCAGTACTTGGAATGGTGCCTGGCACATAGTAAATGCTCACTACTGAATGAATGAATCTCCATCCCATAGAGGTGATTTGCATTTACAAGGGAGGACCATGAACTCCACCAGCAAACCATGAATGACACATTGGCATTTAACAGCCGGCACCTTTATTTATGATCCAAAGTCCTACTTTATTTTTTTTTTTATTTATTTTTTTTTTTTTGAGACGGAGTTTCGCTCTTGTTACCCAGGCTGGAGTGCAATGGCGCGATCTCGGCTCACCGCAACCTCCGCCTCCTGGGTTCAGGCAATTCTCCTGCCTCAGCCTCCTGAGTAGCTGGGATTACAGGCACGCACCACCATGCCCAGCTAATTTTTTGTAGCTTTAGTAGAGACGGGGTTTCACCATGTTGACCAGGATGGTCTCGATCTCTTGACCTCGTGATCCACCCGCCTCGGCCTCCCAAAGTGCTGGGATTACAGGCTTGAGCCACCGCGCCCGGCTCCAAAGTCCTACTTTAAATCTGAGGAAGCTGCTGGTATCTCTGGACACTTTAATGGCACAAGAGATCAGTTATCACATGGGGACACACGCCAGGAACTGGAGCCCAGTGGTTGTAGCAGGGAGCTAAGAGCCAAGGCTCCTGAAAACAAAACCTCAAGGCAAACCCTGACTTGCCTCCAGGTTCCTTACCCACACACCCTGTGCCTCAATTTACTCAGCAGTTGGCTAAACATGTTTCTCTCAGTTCTGTGAGTGACAGGAGACAAAATAATTAACAGCTGGAGCATACTGAGATCCTCAGATAGGAGGTGCTGCAAGCCACACGTCTCATTATTCATAAAACTCTTGATTTGCTGCCAACACGGCCCCCTCCGCCTTCCCAGGGGCTATCCTGAAGACAGGCGCTGCTCAGACAAGTTCAGCTCACAAGGCAGAGGGATGAATGGAGGGCCTAGCAGAGGCTGGGTGTCCAGACCTGGGTGTCTCGGTTACCAGGTTCCAAAAAAGGAAGGTGGTTGGGGTGGGGTGATGAAAAGGAGGTGAGAGGTGCAGTTTGGGGCTCCAGGTGGTTAATTTTGCAGGTTCGTGCATACGCGCCCGCCATCCAGGTGAGACAAGTGCCCCACCGGGTACCTTCCAGGAAGGCTCACCGGGGAGGGGTGGAATCGGGAGACCACAGTTCAATCAAACTAGAGAGGGAGGAAGGGCGGCCCAGCGTTTAGTTCGGGGAAATATGGAGAGTGAGAGTCTGGGAGTGGGCGCAGGTGAGGGAAGCAGCAGGGACCCGGGGGCCGGGAGGGCGGACCGGCGATGACAGCCACCCGCCGCGGCGAGGTGAGCAACAGGGTGGGCGGCGCGGACACCTGTGGAAGCGACCCCGGGGCGAAGGTGAGGGAGGCAGGAGGTGCCCTGCGGCGGGAGGCGGCCAGGCCCAGACCAGGGCGCCGCGCTACCGGGGCGGGCGGGGGTCCGAGCAGGGTCAGGGGCGCTCTCCGCGGCCCCTCCCCGGTAGACAAAGGGCTGGCCGCTCCCCCGAGCCCCGGCGCGGCGCGGGCCCGGGCGCTGCAGACTCGGCCCGGCCTCGGCGCTTACCTGGGCCGCCAGACCCGGCCGGGCCGGCGGGGGCAGCGGGTCTGGGGAGCAGCGCGCGGCGGCCTGTTCCGGGGCGTGCTCAGCCCGAGCAGCCGCGGCGGCGGCGGCGGCGGCAGCAGCAGCAGCGGGAGCGGCCGCCTCAGCCTCCGCCTCCCGCTCCAAGAGTCACCGCGGTGGGGAGGGAGGGAGGGAGGCGCCAGGCCGCCGGGGGAGGGACCGGCAGAGGGGGCGGCATCTGGCTCCGCGCGGGCTGCTGAGGCGCGGCGGCGGCAACGCCCGGGAGGGAGGTGGGCGCGGGGTGAGGGCCGGGGGCCGGGGCGGGGCCTGCGTGTGGGGCGGGGCCCGGGGCTGCGCATTGGTTAACTCAGCCTGCGGGTGGGGCTGCACGTTGCGGGGCGGGGCCAGTGCGGTGCGCGTGAGCGCTCATTGGGCTCTTCTGGAAGGGGGCTTGACAAGAGTCATAGGGGCTGGGCCATGAGGTGGGCGGGGGGAACAGAGCGCGGATAGTGGCGGAGTCCGCGCTGAGAGCGAAGGGGAGGAGCGGGCCGGGGGTGGTCAGGGAAGGCGGGGCGGGCGCGGGGAGGAGGCGGTGTCCTGGAGGAGGAGCCGGGTAAGGATGGAGCTGGCGCTGCGGTAGAGCCACGCTGCGTGTCCCTATCTGCTCCAGGAGCACACTGAACCCGTAAAAATAATGGCCTCTCCTACACACCGGTCTGTGTTTAAAAACGGGAGCAACTAGACGGGGGCAGAATCCTTGGTGAGACCAGTTTACCCAGAACCCCGGAAAATTCTGAAATGGACGAGGTTGCAGAACGTTTAGAGGCGTGGTCTTCCTGCGTTGTTGAGCTGGGAACATTGCTACCTCTGAGTTTGGGGCCTAACCTAGGATTAACCGAGCCCTCAGAGCCCAGGGATGGGCCTCCGTGCGTCCATTAAACTGAGAAGGTCGTGCGTACTGGTAGTGAGTGCATTTTTCGGGGTAAGGGTGCCCATGATTAAAATGCTTCTACAGAAAGTTTGGCTCTATTTGGAGAGAGCACAGGGAGAAGCAGCCCATTTTAGGTAAAATGCAAATTGATTTTAACATCCGCCTTATTTTTAAAGGGACCTGTATCTTTAAGTGTGGTCTCATTTTCAGCAGTTTAAACTACCAGTTACGCAGTGTGACACTAACCCCAGAAGCCCTCCTACCCCACTCTTCACACAGCCTTTCTTTTTACACGTTTTCTGTTCCATCCTCCTCCACTCTGCTGTATTTCTTCCCCTTCCCTATGCAAGAAGAATACGAAATACTTTTTTTTTTTTTAATGTTTATAATATCCACATTACTCTTTTTTTTTTTTTTTTTTTTTTTTTTTTTTTTTTTTTTTTTTTTTTTTTTTTTTTTT